AGGACCAATCGTAGAACTCTTGGAATACCCTATAGATCCACGGAACTCCTTGTAAGTCACTGCAAATTTGCTAAAGTTAATGGGATTATTTTGAAGCTATCTGATCGTCCTCGAGGTACTCGAAACTTCGCTGAATATCATTAAACTATCAAAAAATATCTATATTTAGTTCTCTGGAATTTCTAGAATATATCGCTGCTTGCTAAAAGTTCTTCATTGATGTTCTCTAAACAACTTAACTAAATTTTCGCTTTTTTTTAGTTCTTGAAATCTCCATGATACAACACCCTTAAAATACTCTCTCGTTTTGCGGATGTTCATAAAATTTCCAGGAATTATCTCGGAACTTTGCTGAAGTTTTCGGAAATTCACTGAGTTTTTCGAAACTTCTTTAAGGTTTCTAATATTGCCTTGAAATTATTTGAACTGCCCTTTGATTCTCTGACCTGTCTTGATGTTCTCGAAAATTCCATAAAGCTCTAAGTTCTATTGAAGATTTTGGTTCTGCTCGGAAATAAATAGAATTCCCGTAAACACCTTTAACTTTCCCTGAAATTCATTGGACTTCTGTGAAGTTTTTTTTTAATATTTCTGAAGTTTTCATAAATTTTCTGAAGGTCTCTGTACTTCCCTGAAATTCGCGGATCATCTTAAGGGTTCTCGATTTGTTTTTCAGCACATAATGAAACTATCTTGAATTCATCTAAATTAACGATTATAGATTTTTAATCTATCTAGCTTTTCTGAGGTGCTTAGAACTTCTTAAAATTTGCACAATACCCCTCAAGTTTTCTAAATTTCTCAAGTTCGCTTGACACCTATGAAGTTCTCTGAAATTCTAGGAACTACATAAAAGTTCCTGAAAAGTCTCGGATGCTAAAAGAACCACTTTGAGGATTTTACAGCTTTCAGTAAGTTTCCCATATTTTCAGCGTGTTAACTTCCCTTATGTTCCTGTAGTTTGCGCTCTTCAGCTCTTGTAAAAATTACATCTCTACGGCTCAGCATGGATTCTACCCAAAACGGTCAGTTACAACCAATTTGACCGAATTTGTGTCGCTCTGCGTTTGGACAATGGACTCTGGCGGACAAATCGACGCGGTTTACACTGATCTCAAGGCTGTGTTTGACCGAGTAGACCTCAACATTCTTTTGAGCAAGCTTGAGAAACTCGGAGTGTCTGGATCCTTCATCTCGTGGTTCATATCTTACCTTACGAACCATTCGCTATGCGTTAAGATTGGAGCTTCTCGTTCTGAAGTGTTCACGAACGTTTCCGGTGTTCTCCAAGGAAGTAATCTGGGACCCCTTCTGTTTTCGCTTTTCGTCAACGAGCTTTCGTGTCTACTGCCACCTGGATGCCGGCTATTCTACGCTGGCGATGTCAAAATGTATGTGGTTATCAATTGCATCGCTGATTGTGAGGAGTTGCAGCTGATTGTGGATCGTATGCAGAGTTGGTGCTCCCGTAATTTCTTGAAGCTCAGCATCAACAAGTGCAATGTGGTATCATTTCACCGCAAAAAAAAACCCGATAATATTTGATTATTCCATTTCCGGGCAACCATTAGAGAGGATTAGCAAGGTCAAAGATTTGGGAGTAACACTCGACAATGACATCCTGACTAAAACTTTCGCGATCCGCTTTGCGCTGTATTGCTCGTTAGTACGTTCAATCTTAGAGTGTAGTGCTGTCGTCTGGTGCCCATACCAAGCATGCTGGATAGCCAGATTTGAGAGTGTACAGAGAAAGTTTGTTCGCTACGCGCTTCGTCATCTGCCTTGGCGTGACACGGCTAACTTGCCGTCTTACGTGGATCGCTGTCGTCTGATTGGAATTGACACCTTAAAACAAAGAAGACGGAACGCTCAAGCTGTGTTTTCTGCTAAAATCATTACCAGCGAGATTGATTCGAGCTTTTCTTTTACGCACCTGAGAGAGTGATTAGACAGCGTAATTTTGTACATCTCGCAGCTCGTAATCGGCAATAAAGGGTGTCCACGATGAAATTGCCACACTATGAAATTGCTCTAACTTTTTAACCGTTGGGTAGAATTTAATGAAAATTTGGGTGGATTTAGTTCATAGTGCATTATTTACATCCTGCAAGTTTTAAAGTCCTGTGATCAAAACTCGCGGAAATGGAGTCGAAAGAACAGCTCGTGCGTGATAAAATCTTGCGCATTCATCACGAGAACAAGGATCTCTCGCATCGTTCCATCGATAAAACGTTGGGAATCGGGAATTCCACGGCGTCGCGAGTGATTAAGCGGTTCGAGGAACGGTTGACCACCGATCGGAAGCCCAGAAGTGAAGGAAAAAGTATTCCGTACAACACCAAAAATCACAACCGCGTAGTTGGGGCCTTCAACCGAAATCCGAACGCCTCCGTTAGGGATGTGGCTAAGAAGCTGCACCTAAGCCGAAGTTTTGTCCAGAAGGCCAAAACTAAGGCTGGGCTTCGAACGTTCAAGGTACAAAAGGCCCCTAATCGCGACGAGAAGCAGAACAAGTTCGCCAAAACCCGTGCCAGGAAGTTGTACCTCAACATGCTGACGAAAGTTGAATGCTGCATCATGGACGACGAAACATATGTGAAGACCGACTTCAAACAGATCCCCGGCAACCTGTTTTTCACGGCCAAGGATAAGTTCAGCGTTCCGGAGCATGTCCGCACTCAGAAGATGTCCAAATTTGCGAAGAAATTCCTGGTTTGGCAAGCCATCTGCACGTGCGGGAAGCGGAGTGCACCTTTCGTGACCCAGGACACGATGAACGGACAGGTGTACATAAAAGAGTGCCTCCAGAAGTGGCTGCTTCCTCTCCTGAAGGCCCACAACGTCCCAACAATCTTCTGGCCGGATTTGGCCTCATGCCACTACTCCAAGGACGTGCTGAAGTGGTATGCGGACAATAAGGTCAATTTCGTGCCGAAAATGTTCAACCCTCTCAACACTCCGGAGCTCCGCCCCATCGAGAAGTACTGGGCGATTATGAAGCAGCACCTTCTTAAACGACCTAAAGTAGTGAAGACAGTCGAGGAACTGAAGAAAGTATGGGTTTACATGCAAAAAACGGTTGATTCACAGGTTGTGCAGAATCTTATGGCCGGGGTTAAGGCCAAGGTGCGGGCATTTGCGTATGGACTGTAAATAAAATACGAGTAAAATGGTAAAATGAAGTTTAATAGTTATTTCTCAATCCCTGAAAATTTGATGGCAATCGGATGAAAACTCGAATTTTGCGAATCAATTTTGTGTGTGGCAATTTCATCGTGGACACCCTTTATGGGTTGAATGAACCTATCCGTGCCATCGCTAATGCGTTTAATGACAAGATGAATCATTAGAACAATACATAAATGGACAATAAATAAATATAGAGCTTCACTGAAATTCTCAGCATTTCCTTTCATTCCTGAGAACTTCTCCAAAGTTCCTACAATTGTTGTAAAGTTAATGGGACTGATTTGAAGATCTCTAATATTTCATAAAGTTAATTACGAACTTGAATTAAATCATTTATTTGTTTACTTAATTCTGGCACTTTGAAAATAATCTATATTTTGAACTTGTACATGGAAAACTCAGGTAATTTTATCCAGAAAAATAAGTACAAAAAAAATAGTACATCCTGTATATAGAGAAAGACGGTTAAACGTCAGAACACAAAGAATAATCAATCTAGAAATAAATTCACGCAAAAAAAGTTGAAAATAGTGACTGATTACAAGAAAAAGTGACTTTAGTGACTTGGCCTTAAAAAAAGAGACTTTTTAGTGAATGACTTGAAAAAAGTGACCAGGTCACTAAAAAGTGACTCGCTACCAGCCCTGCTACTGGGCAATTGATGGAGAGGAAACTGAAGGAAAAATGTAAAAAAGAAACAAAACAGCAGCTCAGATGAAAAATCGCCAAAACAGTGGACGAGACCGTTATGCGCCGCTTGATGGGTCGTATTAAGGGAAATGTTCGAGAAGTCCTTCGAAACCACGACAAATAATTCGTTTCGTTTTATTTTTTTCTTAAAATGTAAGGAATACTATGGACTTGAGTGAAAACCGTTTTCAAATCCGTGTATTCAAATCTGAATTAGACCAAAATGATGTTGTTCCATTACTAATTGGGTTATGCTTTATTATTATTATTATTTAGCTTTATTTAGGAGGGTTATGCTTTGTGACGCATGGATTGATGTCATAACGACTTTTTTTTAATTATTTTAGCACTGCGCACGCTATTTTTTCGTCACGATGGGGATGATGGATTTTTAATATTAGATTGAATAGTAATATCTACATCTAGAAAAATGAATTTCTGTCTCTCTGTCTGTCTGTCTGACCCTTATAGACTCAGAAACTACTGAACCGATCGGCGTGAAAATTTGAATGCAGGGATTTTTGGGGCAGGGAAAGGTTCCCCCCTACCCCTCCCATACAAATTAAACAGAAATTTCTGCATAACTCGAGAACTAATCAAGCAAACGGATCCAAATTTGGCATGTAAAGGTCATAGGGGGTGACCCCTTAGATAAGAGGGAGGAGGGGTTACGTACAATATAGCATGCTTTTTTTTAATTGGCACATAAACTCAAACTAATATTGAATCCTCAGCAAGGCCGGGCACACTCAGCTAGTAGATAATAAACAAGAAATCCTGAGTAGTCTACAAAGGTTTGAGCCTCGCTGGATCACTGGAAATACTTGTGAATATTTAAAGCGATGGTAAACAAACAGGTGAACGCCTAAACTTTTTCACAATTATATCGCTGTGAAGCGACTGTAAATTGTAGAAGGAATTTATATCTGCAGCTATAACCAGTTCGATTTGCAAGTCTGGTTAAGATGTTATATTTGATTATCTTAATTAATCGTTAAGCTCAAACCTTTGTAGAGGTAAGAGGTGGGGTCACCATCACCACCTCATAATACAAAAAAAAAAACTAGCATGAATAATATCCACTTCTCAAACCAGAATGTTCTTCTCAACACTTTCAACAGGTACTACCTGTTGGTAGCTGACCGGGCGTGGCATAACCAATGCCTGCGCTGTTGCAAGTGCCTCGCCAACCTGGAAACGGAACTGAGCTGTTACGCCCGTGAAGGCAACATCTACTGCAAGGATGATTACTACAGGTAAGTCGGGGGATCGATTTCTTAAATTCCGTCTCCATCAGCCTGCCACCGGCCGGCCGGCCAACCGCTATCGCTTTCAACAAGCCTTTTTTTTTCGGTTCCGTCTGTTTGGCTTAATTGATGGCAGGAAAAGCGTTTCGAATATGCCATAACCGTTGGTATGAAAATAGTAATTGCTATTGGGCTGCCGATGGCTGGTTGGCCGCTGATGTCCGCTGAAAATATCGCGCAAAATAACAAACGATAACTACACGCATTTTCATGCGCCATTTGCACACGCCTTACAATTATCGCTAATTATGGTACTCGTTGTAAAAATTGCAACTTGCATTGTTATTAAAGGTTTTGGTTTTTGTTGTAAGTATTTTCGCTTGCACTCGCTGCCTGGGTGCAAGCCCCTGTAAAGTCAAACTAGCATCATGCCCATCATCAGATCGTCATACCAGCGAGCGAAAAACAAAAGTGGGGTGAAGCGGTTTACATGGCGGAGTTTTTTTTTTGTAGTTCAGTTCCTGCCGGTGCCAATATCTATTTTCTGTCTTGTTCTTGCTGGCTTGAATCCACTGGATTGTATGCATAATATCACCCTTTAACGCGAAACCGCGACCCATTCGCGTGTTTTACGTATCAACTAATTGGAACTGACTGCTCTGTGGCCAACGACGACGAGCGGTTGGAGGACGTAACGCCTCTTTCTCGTGTCGCGGTTCCTGTCCGGAACGGAACGGTGTAGAGTACCTGTATCGCAATAGTTCAGCCAAGCAAATTACCACATTTATGACCTGTTGGAGTACATGATAGTGGGGTAGATTAAAACAGCGATATCGATTGTAATTGTTGCTGTGTTCTAATTGGAAAGGCGGCAGCGCGGAAGCATTCGCAACGTCATAAATGTTATCACATGTTTCCATAAGTGATTGATAGTTATAGAGTATCAGCGCTCAAGTGTATTAAAATAACTGCGAATATTTTCTTGTGTATACATCAGGTTGGCGGTTGCGAAAACTTTCAACCCTAATCATGCGCTTTAACGTCAAACCAAAAACACAATTCAATTCATATGAATCACGTCCTCTTGGAAATCTCCCAAGTCGTTAGTGAAGATGTAAACCTCCCAGACCAGCAGACAATTAATACCCGCATTCGATTTTCCCAGAATCGAACAAATCCCTTGCATGCCAAACAAGCACCCGGTTCAATCATTCTCCGTTTCCGTTGTACCGTTAGATCCCATCTCCAGCGTGGCGGTGGTAGACCTACACCAAACTCCGTTGTTGACAGCCCCCCACCCGTCAGCTGATGCATATATTCATGCCAAGGATACATCATCAAACATTATTTTCCATCGTTGTCTCCGAGCTGACTCGTAGGCAGGCAGAGTTCCACATAAATACAATATCTGCTTTATGTTTTGTATCCATCAGGATTGACGGCGGAGGAGGGCAGCTTTTTTGCAAACAATGAAATCATGCATGGAAAAGCAGACGTATCGTATACAATGCGATGCGATGATTCCATTTCTGGAACCAAGGCTTGAAACTCGAAAAGCTCACGTCCGAAGTGAGGTTTTTTCGGCATGCAAGCGGGCGGGAGCAAAATCCCATTCTACTTCCATCTACGTTGTCTGGCCGGTGGGTCTTCCCAGTAGGTAGGTAGGTTGTGTGTCTGTGATTCACCATCATGGAGGAATCGGACGCGAACAGACTGACTGCACTGGGTTACGAGTTATACAAACAATGATATTCCGACTGGGTTTAGATTCGCATCCTACCGCTGTCGGAGATCAGCACAGTAGTCCACCACATAAACAACCTTCGGGTTGGAGGAGAAAACCATAAGGTTGACATCAAGACTGCGGGAAGATAGGAGAAACTGGGAAGGCAATGGACAGGATTAAAAATGAAGACAAAAACATACGTTTCCATTGGAAGGTGCTTTCGTTTGTGAGCAGTTCCAGGTCAAATAGTGAAAAAAATATACAAATTTTAGATTTTACCTCTTAGAATTCCATGTAACTTCGCATTATTGATAGCTGGGGGCAATTAACCAAGTTTGTGCTGGAATTCGGTCATTTTGACTAACGCCTAATTTTACAGGCAATTTGATATTTTTTCGTAAATCATAGCACCAGTGCTGTGGTTGTGGGAAGCCGTAGGTAGTGGACGACTACTTAGCTCCAAACCGAAAAAAAAAGTTTACAAAATAGGTAAAATATTGCAATCCATTTCAATAACTAGCGTCACTGATATACATGTCCAGGTAGACATTGAAAAAGCGGTAAATTTTAAATGACAAGTTCAGGGTAAATTATCAAACCGTAAAATTTTAAATGACTTACGCTCCCCTGACATACACATATTCAGGGAAAAATTGAAAACAATGTTCAGTTTGAAATGCCTGCGCCCCTAGTAAGCATGTTTAAAATGATTAAAATCGTTCAATTTGAAGTGTCCCTGGTAGAAAAGTTTACGGAAAAATGTCTTGCGACATGATCTAGGAAAAAAAAATTTAAAAAATAATAAATTTTAAATGGTTAATATGATCAGAGAAAATGAAGAAAACGATGTTAAATGCTAGCGCCCTGGGAGGCATGTTCAGGGAAAAAAAATCAAACTTGAAATAAATTGCGACCCTGGTAAACCTTTTCAGGTTAAAATTGATAAAAATCTTTAAACTTGAAGTGGCTAGCGCCCCTGATATCCACGTTCAGGGAAAAATTAAAGTGTGTTGTAAATAGCTTTTCAGTCTCGACAAAATCAATATAGTGTTATTTTATTTTTTTGTCGAACGTTTCGGGTCCGTTTGGAACCTCCTTCAGGGACTCAATAATTACTTTACGGATAATTACGGACCGAAACGTTGGACTAAAAATAAAATAGCAGTATTTTGATTTTATCGAGACTGAAAAGCCATTCACAAAAAAAAAGAAAAAAAAACAACAACATGCATCAATTCCCAAAATAACCGTACCCAACAAAGGAAAAATTAAAAACAAATATTGTTTAGTTTAAATTGCTACCGCTTCTGGTAGACAAATTCATGGAAAAAAAATAAGATACGTTAAATTTGAAATGGATAGTGCATTTGATAAACATATTCAGAGAAAAAAAGATCAAAATCGTAGAATTTTAAGTCGCTAGCACCGTTGACATACATGTTGAAAGAAATTTTTTTTTAAATGTTAAATTTGAAATGGCTTGCGCCTCTTATAAACATGTTTCGGAAACAATTAATCAAAAATGGGTTGGTTGGAAATGCTATCGTAAACTTCACGTATGAAGTAACAAATAAAAACACTTTCAATGTAATCAAAAATGGTAAATTTAGCACAGGCCACGCTCCTGATCAGGGAAAAATAAAAAAAAAACCACAAGGGACAGCCTTATGGGGTGTACGCAATGGTGACGTAGGACTACGTGGTCTTATATAATAAAATGTTGTTTGTTAACTGCAGCAGGAGCTTGTGTTTTGTCGAAGACATCATATCAAGAAGACTGGCAACTTTGCCAGAATTCAAGCGACAGATACAATAGCGCTGCGCTTGAGTGAAGGTGGAAGCAACGCATAGAAAAATGAGCAAATACAAAAACCTTTCTTCTGAGGATGTAATCTTTGCTATCAAATTCGTTCGAAACATTTACCTTTGAGCGGCAGATGATGCGATTGTACCTATCTCATAGCGTTCGTATGAGGAAATGGAAAAGTTGCCAGTTCTCTTGATTTGTTGTCTTCTGTTTTGTGTAGAAATAGGAATTTGAGCGGGGTTCAATCTGTTTATACTCTTTAGTATAACTATGATTGCCCTGAAAAGAACCTTTTGATATGAATTTTAGTTGGGACACGTTCAGAAATTTAACTCGTTCGGAAAATCTTGGTGGTCCTGAAAAGGGCCGATGGTAGTACAGGCTTAAAGCCTTTGGAAGATGATGATGACTTGCAGGCAGCTGGATCGGCAAATCGGACTGGACAATCCCATATTCTTCGGTTCAATGATTGAGCACTCACAAGTCTCGGCCCATCTGCTGCTGGACAGAGGTTGAACTGGTTGGAAGGAAGAATATCAGTGTTCACTAGAGTGATGCAAAATTTGTAATTTTCACTCCACAATACTTAAACGATTCTAAATCGAATGCTGACTAACCTCTCAAAATTTGAACCCATTTGGTGAGAAACTGAGATGGCACAAACCATTTGAAGTTTGTATGGGAATTACTATGGTAAAACCAAGATTTTTGTTCATGTCTATCTAATAATTCACCATATCTGTCTGCTTCTAAAGTTTTCAACTGTACTTGTAGGAAATTTTTCCAGCTACAACTTTGCTGAAGACCAATTTTTAATTAAATGCAAGGATCGAAAGTTATCAATGGTTCAATGCGCTGATGTCTTATGATCATGCCCAATCAACTGCTCAGCAGGCAACATTGGTGTTTCTGGGGCGTTGAATAGGACACACAAATCATGGCTACTATGTCACACTGCAAAATACAGCGTTGCCTACAGAGCAGCGGCTTGATCATGTCATAAGTTTACCAATCTCTTAAATAATTAATAATTTTTACCTGTCTCGTTTTACATAGAAACGATTTTAAGCAAAGTTGTAGCTGAGAAAATTTTCTATAAGAATGGCTATCGAACTGTTTCGCAGCTAAATATGGAAAAAAGACTAGAAGGCAATGAACAAAAAGTTGAGATTTCCCATAGTGATTTACATGTAAACTTCAAATGGCTTGTGCGAAGTCTGCTTCTAACCAAACGAATTAATTAATTTAGCTTTATTTAGGAGGCTTTCAGCCTTAGGCTGGTTCGCCTCCAAATATCTAACCAAACGAGTTGTAACTTTGGGAGGCTAATCAGGACCCGATTTGAAACCATTTAAGCACTGTGGAGCGAAAAAGTCAAATTTTGCATCAGTCTAGTGTTCACCCAGCTAAAGCTCATCCCCTTTTAAGTTTTTCTCGTTAAACTCCTTCTCTCAACAAGTTGGTAAATCTTAGCCT